CAGCGGCCTCGCCCTCTTCCCTCCCCCTCCCCCCCCACCTTTCCCCGCGGAGAAACAGACAGGAGCCACGCTGGGTCGCATCACTGAGTCACCTTTATTTTTCTCAAATTTTATTTCTTTTTGACAGGAACGTAAGCACTTTCTCTTTCCGCATACAAATTCTATGACAAGCTCTCCTAGCTGTAAAGTGTTTCTCATCCGGAAAGTACAGAGGTATTTGCTAACAGTAACAAAGGAAGAAAATACTTAAGAGAATGGACCTAAAGTCTAACTCCTTTTTTCCTTACTGTAACTAAAGAGGCAAAGTTCATCTGATAAAACCCTTCATCAGCTTCACCTAAATGCAAAAGATTCTCCACGTAACCTTAAACATCACTCAACTTTTCACAACACTGAGATTTTTATTATTTATGTGTGAAACAGACATGTATCGCTTTCAAGTGACTGTTTTTAATGGTGTTAAAAACATACTTTAAAACACACAGACCCTCCCAGCTGGCAACCCCCCAGGCCTACCGTTGACTTACAGATCACAGTTCGCAGAGTTGTTTTTGCTCTGATCACTTAAGTCACTCATCACTGTCACTTCTTTCCCCCAACCTTTTCCGAGCTACACTGAATAGTGGTTATGTTTACAATACAACAAAAGATGACCCAGAACAGGGGGTTTCGGTGACAGGGCGATACGTAGCAAACATTAGGATCAACTGCTAAGTCCACAAATAGAGTTACTCTCAGATGCCAAACACTTTAGGGCTAGACTGCAGATGTTAAAGCGACTTTTGCCGTTCTCAGTGAGCCCTGCTGAAAGCTCCATCCCGCGCCCAGCACGACGCCTTCAAGATCTATGCCTTCCGTAAAATCTCAGTGTGTAATCGAGATGCTCAAAACATCCTCAACAAGTTTCCCCCCCCGCCCCGAAGTTTACTTCTACTGTAACAAACTACATTCTAATTACTCAACCAAAAAAACTGGGATTTATTGACTTTTGAATTCTGTAAGACTGACCTGCAGTAACCATAAGTTTGAACTGTCAACAAATTGACTTCCTTAGATTATGTAAAATTACCTGTATTGTGAAACTACAGACTGTGCACCATTTCAGGTACGTTATGGATTAGAAAAACCTGCAAGAGGCTTGAGAGCAGTTACATTAAGATAATGAAATTCAGCTAACTTCTTTAAAAAAAGAAAAGGAAAAAAAAAACAGCCCTGAGAACATGGCTCAACTAGCAAGAGTCTAGTTGAAAAACCACCTTTATAAGCAAAAATTAGAAGAATCTATTGAAATCTTGAAATATTATTTGCCAACATTTGAGGCAGGAAACACTGCAGTCTTCCTAATTCTGTAAAGTAGTAAGAGAAACTCACCAAATTAGAGCCATAAAAAAATGCGTTATTAGAAGTGGAAATACTTTTCTTAACCTCCTAGTTTTCACAGCCTTTATATGAAGCAATTGCATGAGCTACTAGAAGTTTGTAGTTATCAGTTTTGACACAGCTTAAAGTGTTAAGATAGTGCTACAAAACAAGTACATGGATAAGGTTTGTTTTAATGTAAAGCTTTGAGAGTAGGATTTCCCTAAACATTTGATAGAGCTCTTAAAAAATATGCAATTATATGGACTACTGATCACAAACAAAAGTTTGCTGCAAATGATCTTGACAGTAAACTGAAACATCTCTGAAAAAAAATGGCTCAAGCATTTGTTCTAACTTAGAAGCAACTTCTTACTGAAACTTGGAGATTATGCTTAAGACTCATGCTAAACCACAGGTTTATGCATTACCTATGGGAAACTTCATGCATGATGCCACAATGCTCTGCACTTCCACAGCATTTGAAGTGCTTCACAAAAGACAAGTATATAATCAGAACAAACCTATATTGAAGTACTGAACCATCTCAATCTTGCAGAACTGAAGGCAGTAACAGAAGGACATCTTTAAGCCCCAAGGAGGGCTCTTCCAACAAGCTGGAGGTCATAAAACATGTATCTTTAGATTGCTGTAGTACACGAAAACACCAGGCAGACCAGGACCCTGCTGTAGAAACCGGACCAAAAAAACAGCTCTTGTCCCAAAGAACTTAGTCTAAGTACATGCTCAGCTTGTGGGCCAGTGGCATCCAACACCTGACCTCCAACACAGGTTCTAGAGGACAGACAGGCACCTAAAAGTGGACTAAAGCACTCTTAGAACAAACCCAAGTCTTACCATTTTCAAACATTTTTAGAAGTATTTTTAATACTAGTGATAACATCTAGAACTTGCATCAGTTTGATATAGCAGCCTAAGACTTCCCATTGGACATCACTAACACCATTATTAATGGTTTCAGTCATCTCCAAACCCAAAAAGACTCTCTCTCAGATATCAGTGTGATGGAGAGGCAGAAAGGAGCACAGTGCAGATCAGCTTAAACTAAGCACGCGCTCCAAGGCTATTTTGAACGCATTTCAATCTCTTGCATCTACAGCCCTTTTTAAGAGCAGTTTCGTCATTTCGGTCAAGATGCTATTTATAGAGTTCACCTACAATGCTTACTGTGCTAGGCAAGAGCATGTGGCAGTATCCTACTCTTGCCAGGTTTCACAGGTAACTGTGCTTTATTACCAAAGTATATTTATTGCTGTCTTTACCTTCATCGTGCTCCTCTCCCTGTCACGAGAAGTCTATGGAAAATACATGTTTTTGCCACCTGTATTAGGCCTCCAAGATTTGCTAAGCCCTAACACAGCATGTACAAGGGCGTATCAGGAGAGTTGCTGTGAGCCCTTTGGGAATTAGAGAATACATACCATTAAGCTCAAAACATTTTAAGTAGTTAAGGGCAGCATGAAGTCTGACTCTCACTGCCAACAAAGTATGAATTGTGCACGCTGTCCAGGGCAGCATGCCAAGCGTTTACAAGCTGTCCTCAATTAGCCAATAGCTACTGACGCTTAAGGCAAGTTTATGAAACAATTTACTAACTGCAAAGAGAGGTTTGAGCCGCGGGCTAACAAGTTCCTCCCTTATTAAGGGACACTAAGTATTAGAATTCAAGTGGAACACCATAAACAGGAGTAGGCTAGTTATCCTTCTGCGACTAGTTCTGTAAAGCTTTTTGTTTGCCTGTTAAGCTGCTAACAAGTTAGAGGCATGCATGTGCGTTTTAATGACTGGAAGAACTCCTGTGGATAGGAGCTAGCTTTCTAAACTATGTAGCAATTTACTTTTGTAATTAAGTCATGTATTGTCTGTCAAGTCTATATTTTGAAAATAATATAGTTTTGCTTTACTTTTTAAAAAGAATCACATGCATTTAGTTTAGGCTCAATGCTACAATCTGTCCCACTTTTTGAAAAACACATGGCCCTTGCGCTACAAAAATATGGTCTGAACCTGAAGATTAAAACCTAAAGCTGGAAGCACTGCAACAGATTCCCATGGAGTTTGTCACCATTTTATAGTTTAAGATAAATATAATAGAGGAAAGCAATTGAACTGCATTTTTCTGTTTTTATTTTTCAAGTCTGACAAAGGCCTCGAGTGAAAGTCTATAGCTTTAACATCCATCTCACCTTTGTGCCCCCTTAACCTATCTATATCATATCTACCCAATATTCCAATTGCCTGCCTAAACCAAAGGTAGGCTTTGACACCATTTTAACGTTACAATAAGCCAACATATCGGCAAAAGAGTACAGAGGTAATACAGTTAAGTTGCACATGGCCACGGGGGCTTTGTCAAGCCAGCTGGCATTTTTGATCACTTGAGTTTCTTGGTCTAAAACTTGTGATTGGCACCTACAGTTCTGCAAGAGTCCCAATCCACAAAATACTTAAGCTTAAAAAAAAAAATGCTACTTTTATTGTCAGTTCTATCTAAACATGTCAAGAAAAATACTATTTGTGCTCTAGGTCACTTTATAATCCTAGATACCTACTAGCTTATCTAAAAGCCCCTGAATACTGTATTTTGTCTGTTCATACAGACAAACACTGTTTTGCTCAAGCAAATAAAAATATATCCACTAGTAACACCTGATTGGTTTCTCAGATCCATAGCTGAAACCCACAGGAATGTTAAAATAGTTACAATTAAGGAATTAAAATCTCAGTGATTTTGAAAACTGCCAGTTAGCCTGCAACACTAATCCAGAATCCAGCACTGCTTTTTAACAATTCGAAAAAGAAATGAGGTTGCTTGTGAAGGCCAGAGCTTTGGTGACAATCAGAATCAAATTTAAAGATCTGTGATTTGTCCAGACCTGAGCAGTTGCCCGAGCCTGGTGATCCTCTTTATTTGCAAGGCTTTATGGCTACAGCACATTCTTCATTCATTGCACTTATGACAGATATCTGGAAGAAAAGACAGACAGGTGAGGTACAACACGTGCCAGAGGAAGAACGCAGAGAAGTTACAGACTTTCGATCTACCTCCTATTGGAGGGGAAGGGAAGGCTGAAGCTGGTGATTCGCTCTTTATGTGACTCAAGTACTTGCCCTTCGGCTGCCTTCTGTTTGCCAAATTGCCTTAGCTGGCAGCTAGAGGTTTGTACAACAGTGGAAGGCAAACAAGCTCCTACAACAGAGCCATACCAGTAACTGGTACAGCCTACTACAGGCTTTAGCCTACACACCTACTTGTGGAAAAGTTTGCTAGCATAGCAAATTATACTACTGTAACTTTATAGTCATATCAACACATACTTTCATCAAAGTCAGCCCTACAGCTTTTGACAATTACCACAATTTTTCCTTCTGAACAAGTTAGATCTTTACATTGCAAGATCTCGCCACATGAAGACTTCTTCTCAGCTTCAAACTGTTTCTGTAGCTGAAGTTACAATGCAAAGCTCTACACTTGGTCCTGGTTAAGTAAGCCTGGACGTTCCAATCCACACTGTACCGATCCTACACTGTATCTACAGCACCATTAAGATCTATCTAGACTTTTGAGAGACACCTGTATGGCCTGTCACCTGAGCCTGGCTTAGGTACTATATATAAAGTGCTCCAATACAGTAGATCTTCTGCATCTCAAAGGACGAATTCTCACACTTCTAACCCTCTTTTCATAAAGATATATAAATGGTAAATATCAGAATAAAAGAGTTCTTAGTAGAATCAAGTGGAATTAACTGTAGTTATTCTCATCTGCTTTCTATGCTTACCTGCACATCTTCACTGGCATTGAATTTTCCTTCTATTTCTTTACCAAGATCACCTTCTGGCAACTTTAGATCCTCACGAACTTCACCGCTTTCTGTCAGCAGGGAGAGATACCCATCCTGAATACCAATCAGCTACAAAGAGAAGTTCATTGTTAGGAAGCTTAACATTAGTAGTCATTAGTAGGCAGTCACCAAAGAAAAGCAGAAGGCACTGTGACCTCTACCTGTTACATTAATTATTTAGTGCTGCATTTGTAACAGTTAAGAAATTAATTTAAGTCCATTTTAAACAACAGTTTCAGAGTGCTGAGAGTTACAGGCAACTATGGCAAGAGCCACCCTACTACTCAAGAATCACTGAATCCCATTAGTTACTTGAGAGCAACTGCAGCCAGCTTCCGCACATGAAGCGGAAAGCACCTGTAAGTTAGAACTGGCATCAGATGCAGCTTAAGACTGTCGTGTCAATTCACATACCCTAGGGTAAAGGGTGCAATTTAAATGATATTATATGCTTAGGTTCAAATTTACTTGAAGAGAGATCTTGGTTATCCTTTGGGTAATAGTAAGTTACAGGAGTTCTTTAGAATCTGGAAAGAGGCTGACCCTGCTGTAACTCAAAGAAAAGAGAAGTGATCTTACAAGATGAGCTAGAAGAAATGTTGCTCCGAACATGACCTCTTATGCCATTCACCTGTCATTTCTAAAGGCTGCTAACTACAGCACAAAGTTTGCAGTAGGATAAGCAGGAGCTCTCTATCAGTGAACTGCAGCCGATTTAACAATT